CTCCCTCCTCCTCAGGACACCACCCGGCAAAGGCCCTGGGCCCCGCACCGGATCGTGTCCACGGCGCCGGCCACGAGCCCATCTCCAACCGCCGCACATTCTGGGGTCCCGGGGTGGACGGGAGCTCAGGGTGGATGCTGCCCAGCCCGGTCCGATGTCCACATCCACAGCTGGGGCGGTGGCGGTGGACAGCCCCGGAGCCACGCCCCACGCCGCCACGCCCCCAAGTCCCCACGCCGCCACGCCCCCCACGCCGCCACGCTCCCCACGCCTCCATGCGCCACGCCGCACGCCGCCACACCGCCGCCTGCGTTACAACCCAGCACGCGCCGAGTTTCCTGTTGACCAGTTAATGCATTTACTTGCCCACAGAGACGCCGCCCAGCACGTGACGTCTGGGTCGATCGCCCCCACTTCACGGAGGGGGAAATCGGGGCGCAAGGAGATCACACACAGCCTGCCCCGAGAACTACACCGGGGAAGCCGCCGGCAGGAGACCCCGGAGCTGAGCTGTTGACCCCAGGTGAGACGCGGGGAGGCGGGAGGGGAGGAGGGAGGGGGCTGGAGACTCGGGGACACCTGCCCAGGGCTGGGCAGAGGGGGCGAGCGGCCCCGGCCCGGGGCGCCAGCCACAGCACGCTTCAGACGCGGCCTTGGCCCCGGCCCAGGGCCCCGGAGCCCCTCAGATACCACCGAGCACCGTGGCTCGCGCCTGTCATCCCCGCTACTCAGGAGGCTGAGAGCTGAGGGTCGCGGTTCAAAGCCAGCCCGTGAGACTCTGATCGCCAATAAACCACCAGAAACCAGAAATAGCGCTGTGGCTCCAGTGGTGGAGCGCTGGCCTTGAGCTGAAGAGCTGAGGGACAGGGTTCAAGCCCCCGAACGACCGAAATAAAAAGAATTCTAAGAGAAAGAAGTTACACACATCTCAACAAAGGGAGGGGACGCCCCTCTCTAAAAGTCAGCCTTCATTTGTCTTTGTGTTTTTTGCTTTCTCTTATTTTGATTTTGGGTCTTGTTTTGCTTTCTTAGTTATTTTTGTTTTATTTTCAGTGTTAAAAATGAAAACAGTTTTACACTTGATGGCTAAAAAAAAAAAAAAAAAAAAAAAACCAGCATGGCAGGGCCGTGGCTGAGCTTGTGAGCAAGTGTGAAGCCCTGAGTTCTGTCTCCAATACCAAAAAACTAAAGCGAAGCAACACAAAATCATACAAGGAATGAATGGTATAAAATCAGAAACAAGACCAGGCTGGGCGCAGATGGCTATGCCTATGAGCCTAGCTACTGGAAAAGCTGAGATCTGGGAGATCACAATTTGAAGCCAGCCCTGGCAGAAAAGTCTACAAGACTCCATCTCCAAAATAACCAGCAAAAAGCTGGGCTGGAGGCATGGCTCAAATGGCAGAGCACATGCCACACAAGCAGTGAGCTAGAGGGCACCAGTGGCTCACACCTGTAATCCTAACTACTTAGGAGGCTGAGATCTGAGGATCATGGTTCAAAGCCAGCTTAGGCAGGGAAGTCCATGACACTCTTGATCTCTTAAAAAAAAAAATAAAAATCACCCAAAACCTGGAAGTGGAGCTGTGGCTGGAGTGGTAGAGTGTCAGTCTTGAGCAGAAAAGCTCAGGGACAGCACCCAGGCTCTGAGTTCAAGCCTCAGATCTGTACCGGAGAGAAAAAAAAAAAAAAGGAAAAGGAAAAGAAGTATGCAGGCAGGCTGCAGCCCCAGGACTCTTTGGCATTGTTTGCAAAGTCTCGCTGCCGACCGGTGCAGCCTTTTGGATGAGTGAGCCTTTGATTAGGAAAGGGAGAAGAAGTGTCACAGTGTCACAGTGCTGGACCGGCCACAGCTGCCAGCCGAGGAAACTGAAGACATTACTAAAACATTTGCTTAAAAGAAAAAAAAAACAGCAAAAAGTTGGAAAGAAAATAAATATATGAAAATGAATGGCTTTCCAACATCCTAGTGAGCGTCATTTGTAAAAAATGTAATGGAACAATAACAACAAAAAAATCCCAATTCTCGTCAAAATAGTAACACCAACATATTTAGACATGACCTATAAAAGAAATGAGTGGATCTTATCAGAAAGTATTATAAATCTTTAGTAAAGGAAATAAAAAGGGAAGGAGGAAAGGAGCCTTTGGGGAGCAAAGGAATCTCAACATGACGCTGGTGCCTGGCCCAGAGGCTCACGCCTGTAATCCCAGCTACTCAAGGGGCTGAGCAGAGTGATCTGAAGTCAGCCAAGGCAGGAAAGTCCACGAGACTCTTATCTCTAGTGAACCAGCAAATAAAAACACAGAAGTGAAGTCGTGGCTCAAGTGGTAGAGCACAGCCTTGAGTACAAAAGCTACGGGACAGCACGCAGGCCCTGAGTTCAAGCTCAGCATCAGACAATGGGGGAGGAGAGGGGAGAAAGCCAAAGGCAAAAACGCTGGTCCCTGGCTAGGGCTGGGTGCCATGGGGAATGGCCTGCCACGTGAGACCCATGGGTGAGCAGGGAATGGAGGCACGCAGGGTGGTGGAACAGAGGTGAGCCAGGAGCTGCCTGTGTGTTGGCAGAGGTCACTATGGTCCACAAGGTCAGCGACTGGACAGCTCCTGAACTCAGGTCCCAGACACACACACACACACACCACCAGTGAATAAAAATGCAACAATGAGAGTCAGATGTGACTAAGAGCCAACAGAGTGAGCTTCCAGTGAGCAGAGTGCTAAGAATTTAAACCAGAAAATGAACCACATAACCTCCATCATAACCCACGGTATTATGACCCAGGCTGCTAGAAATGACTGATTAATAAATGACTTCCTCCCAAACAGAGGAGAAACCGACACAGGCCCCAGGCTGCCCTGTTGATTATCCACGCCACGAACACGTGTCACCATCCTCTTGTTCTCTTTCTCTTACCAAAACACATGCCTCGCTCCAGAAAAACACTGGATACACTGCAGTGACACCAGGGGCAAAGCATGTGGCCACTGCTTAGCAAAGACAGACGCAGTGGCTCGAACGTGTAATCCCAGCTACTCAGGAGGCAGAAATCAGGAGCCTCGAGGTTCAAGGCCAGTTGGAGCAGTTCAGACTGCTGGTCTGGGCAAAAACCAAGAGATTCTGTTCAAAATTACTAAAGCAAAAGAGGGCTAGGTGCGTGGCTCCAGTGATAGCGTGTGCCTGGTAAGCGAGAAGCCTTGAGTTTAAACACTGGTTAAAAAAAAATCACTGGAGATGTGACTCGAGCAGTGAAGCACCTGCTAGCAAGCTTTGCCACTTGTTTAGTCCCCTGAGAAAGGCTGATCTTTTTTTGATGGTGGGTTGTGGGTCTTGAACTCAGGACCTAGGCACTGTCCCTGAGCTCTTTCATTCAAGGCTAGGTCTCTCCCACATTGAGCCACAGGGCCACTGATGGTTTTCTGGGTTCATTGGAGATAAGAGTCTTACGGACTTTCCTGTCTCAGCTGGATTTGAGCCACAATCCTCAGATCTCAGCCTCCTGAGTAGCTAGGATTGCAGGTTGTTATAATTTTATTTTTTTTAATTTTATTTTATTTGTGAACATGCTGTACAGAGGAGTTACAATTACATGGGCAAGATAATGCGTACATTTCTTACCAAGCATTGCAGCCTCCTCCTTTGTTTACCCTTCACATCCCTTCCCAGCCTCCCCCCTCCCCCCC